GGTCCCTTGGCCGGATTCGGCTCTCCCGTTTTTTCGGCCCGCATTCAACTCGAGGAAGTTTAATCTCAAACATCACATCATTTATTTTTATTTTTTTACTATTGTTTGACTAGCGAATCCTTTTTAATTCGTAAATATGACACGAGGGCCCGAGAAGTTTGCAGATCACCGAAGTATAACCTTGTCCGACCCGAACTCGTTCGTCGTATCGTAATACGTAAAACTATGGAGATTTTTTCATTTATTCTCGACGGTCTACGAAAAGCGTACGCCACTAATCATTAATCAGTTGCACGCGGCGTCTGTGCAATGGAATACGAGATCGATTGGGTATTACCGTTTAACCGAATCGGTTGAAGATTTTCTCACTGATACTCTCCGTGCACGGACGGTGAACTTTTCGCGCCAAACTTGCGCGAACACAATCAATCGACAACAACAAAATGGTCGGTTCGACCGGTACACGTAGTCCTATCGGCTAGACCACGTGACAGTAGCGGATCTAGATGTCACACAAGGGGTAGGGGGCAAATTTTCAAAAATTAAATCACCATTTATATAGCCTATATAGAAGGATAATTATTTACATTATTTTCTCGAAAAAACTGATTCAATGTGTCAAAAAAGTAATTTATTTTTACAAAAAAAGCCTATTAAACTAATAATGTGTAATATTACATACATAGCTACAAAATGAAATCAATGCATCTTTTCTTCTCCTTGACAAACCTATCTATAACATCTTCCACGTTTAATTTGATGTGCAAAAGTGCTAAGCCAGTCAGCCGTTCTTCCCCCATACGAGACCTCAACCAGGTTTTCAATCTAATACATTTAAAACAATAGACAATAATATAATAATTATCTATCAATTAGAAATTTCAAAACATAACTATATATATATACATACGTATATTTGTAATAATATAATATTAATTTAATTTTATATAATATATTAACAAGTTTCTAATTGATATTTACATATACATATTATTTTAACTACTCATCAAGGCAAGATGCTGT